TATAGCGACGATAGCGACGAAACAAACAATACCGTCCAGTGAAGCAATTTGATTGGCTAGTGATGATGTTATCCTCTATATCTGCTTAACAGTCATTTTGTACTGTTTCACATACGAGTGTTAGGTTTACAGTAGTGTGTTGTCTTCTTTCAGTATTATATTTTAGTTGTTTTATATCCGACAAAAGGTAATACAAATTGTGACGTTTGAATTGTTTTGTTAATCTAATAAGTTGTCTGTGACCCGTTGCTTATTTTTATTAACAAATCGGTAAGTGCGATACATCAAGAGCGTACCCAGACCTACCTAACAACACTGAAACAGATTGGTCGCACGTCTACCATTCAAGTTCAACTATACTCTACGATCTAGGCCTAAAATATTTTGATTTATAGAAGACAAACCTATTAAAATGGAGGTTGAAACGATGTGTTCATTCGATGCAGTAGTTGCTAAAGATGATGTGTTAATGGAGGTAGGTTTCTGAGATATTATTTAGGTTCATTTGTCAAGTAAAGACTTGCCTGGGCGGGTGGTTAATTAAGTAACTGCTTAGCGGTAGGCCGCTGCATTGCTGTGGTATAGCAGGCTAACAAGACGAGTAACGGCGTGCTGTTGTATAACAAATATAACGTTATGGATTAATGTTATGCAATGTAGTTAGCCGCCAGAATTGATGTTGACTGTAAACAGGGTTTGCTATTTTGTAGAAGCGAAAGTAAGTAGCTACAAACGTTGCTCACTTCCTATGATAACCAGTCAGCTGGTACCTTTGTAAACCACATGGACTAATTTGGAAGTTCCTTCTTAGCACACCCACTTTCTTTGATGTCAATGTTGAATTGTTTAAAATACAGTACAATAATTAATATTATTAGGCCTACTAATTAATATTGTGCCTGTATTTTAAAAGTGATTTTAGTTTTAATGATCCAAAAAAGTCCCCTGATGCAAATACAATAACTAGCCAATAAAAAACTGGATTATAACTTCCAGACTTGTTATGATTTTTAGGGGATTTCCCAGAAAATATTGAAATATGATTGAAGAAATACATATTTATTAGGACTCTTTGGTGATACATTCAATGATTGAACTGTAAAACACATTGAATGTAAAACACTGAACACATTTGTGGCAACAAAACACAATGAAACGGGAACCTACCACCTCTTTCCTTATAATGTGTTTATCTTTTTAAAATTTAGATTAAATGAAATTGATAAATATATTAGAAAGTACTGTAAGCCGACATAGAGTACAGTATGTACTGTACAGCTTTCGATTTCCAGCATTTTTTGTGTGTAGCAAAAACTGCTCTGCACTTTTGTGTTGTGTAGCAGTTCCAAAATTGTGCATAGCATTTTTTTCTGCGGTGATAATGAATGATTATTAAAGGGAAAAAATGACACTTTTCAATAAGAAAATCACAGTGATGCATCTTTTTTTACATGTAAGGAGCATTGTATGTGTGAACTCGATGTGAAGAAGCATATTGCTCTATTTTTGGCCCAAAACATTGAATATTTAAAAAAAAAAAATTCAAGAATTTTTTGTGCACCAAGCCTCTTAGTTTTTACAGCCAGGCCTTGCTGAAGACTGAGTGGTTAATTCTAGGCAAATAATTGCGTCGCATTTGTTTGTGATGCATTTGTGGAAGTGCTTCGCAGTTAGTGTAAAACTTGTCACATTTTGCGATGCGATACTGGGTAAATCGAACGCTGATACTGTAGATTTTGGAGTTCCTTAATACCTTAAGTGTAGTTTAGATTTGAAGTGCACTGTTGTGTCGATCGCCATGAGCATCTTTTACAGTTGCAACAATAGATTTTCATTATTATTATTATTATTATTATTATTATTATTATTATTATTATTATTATGTTTTTTTCTTTTTTATAAATATTAAGATATTGGTACTATTATAGAATGTCATATTAGAATCTTGGTCGAAAGTTCACAGAATGATCAATATTGTTGTCAATCAAGATTTGATATACTTTCTCATAACTTGTATTTTTTAAAATACGATGGATTTTTATTGTTTTAGCTTAGGTTAGCCAGATACCAGTTGCCTTTAGAGCTCCAGTGAGGATGAAAACTACTGTAGCAAGCTCTCATCTGGGGCTCTAAGTTCTGTCATCAGAGCAAGTTCCGGAAGGTTCTTATTTTATTTACTACTATTTCATGGGAACTTGACTGTCTGCGACTCTTCCCTGATCGCTGTGATGCTCCTGGATAAATTTTACGAATTCAAGATCCAGGGAGGACATGTCCCCATTTTGCAATAATACTGTATATCCCTCACACTAAAATAGTTCAGAAACAGCTTCATCTAACTTGTACCCTGTTCACAAATTTTTAAAAATCTTGGATTCTCACATGTATTGTGTAAAAATAATACCCTCCAAATATTTAAAAAAAAAAAATTTCTTTTCCATCACATGGAATAACTATACAGTCCTGAGCTAGTTCAATATATAGTCTGATATCCTTCAGAACTGCAAGGGTATATTTCATTGTCATTGCGTGCAGTTTTCATGAACTGTAAATATGCCCTGGCAGGTCGCATGTTTATTCAACAATCATGAGACTCGATAATTGATAATCAAATTTTCATTAAACATTAACTGTTTAGCAAAGTTTATTAGTTTTTGCGTACTATAACCCATATACTGTTATAAGTGGTGTATAAATATTATTTTTTCATTCTTGAATGAGTAGGTCACCACTTAAAAATGGAAATTTGTGATACTCAATTGATTTTAACATAATACTAAACAAACCCTAATGCAGATACAGACATTTACAGGAGAGGTAAAAGAGCACTCTCTTATAAGAACTACTGTAGGTGTTCTTGCCCTCTCTTTGTTGTTTTTAATATTATCTTTGAATTATTTAGTTCAATTATTTATTTTTAACATTTGAAAATGTTTAACAGTTTTATTGTAGTAAAGTAGAAAATGTTTATGTTCAGCCATAAAATTAAAATTTTAAAAAATTACGATGTGAGGTATGGTCCCGTACGCTATCTCGGTAATGATAAAGAAGGTTATGGTTGGCAACAGCTAGGGACACTGACCATTACCGAGATAGCGTACTGTACCTTATCCCTAGACACTGCCATAAAATTAATATTTTCAATAATCATTCGTTTTGGTTATTATCTTTGTTTTTATTTCTCAGAAATAACTTTGGAACTGACTGTATTGAAAAATCTCGAAAACAAACCCTTTAAAATTTATCAAACATTAGATTTACTCATTTAAAATAATAAATTAAGTTATTTATGTCCAATGACTCACAAATAAAAACAGTAAATTTTGTCCTGATTTACATTTTTTGTACTACAAATTTCTGATGTTGAAACCAACCAAGAACTAGGAGGAATACTATTATTGTACTGATAGTTGTGGAGGAATATAATTTGTCGTTTAAATTTTTTAAATTTCAAACTTGAATATACAAGTGGAGCTGTGGCTTGGTTTATTGAGGTGCTTGCCTTATAATACCCAGGGTCTTTAGTTCAAATCCTTATCAAAAACCAAGGTTATGTATCATGACTAAAACAGCTCCTTTCCCCCAAGTCATGTATACAAATGCTTAAATAAAGCATATTTGGCACTGTAGGAAAACAGTGGCTTTGCTATTGAACAGGTAAACAGTTTAATAAATAAATAAGACAAGTGTATAGTGTAAAACAAAAGCAGGACATGTAATTGTATTACTCATTTTCAAACTACAGAACCCCTTGATTTTAAAGGATTTGAGTTCAGGCCCAATAGTATTTTTATACCTCCATGGTATAATCAACTTTATCACATTTTATCATTGTGTATGAGAGGTGTGTGAAGTTTTCAGGTATTATCTAGGCGTGTACTTATCGAACCATGTACCAATGGTAACTCAATATCTAGGTAGAAGTTGAGCCCATTGAAAGTACCGCTTCACTCTACCACCTATTGAATTGTTATGTAAACTACTATAGATTAAAATAGGGACTGCAAACTGTGAAGTGGGTTTCATGTGAATCCCAATGGTGTTCACTCAGTCGTGGCTAGGTTGGTCTTCAGCGGAGGTGTGTTGTTATTCTTCCATCTGGTACCTCAGGTAAACTTTTGCTTAGTATTTCATTTTTTTCTTTATATAGTTTTTATTTTTCAAAAACTATATTATTATTATTTTTAATTGTTTCTATAATTGTTTTAATTTTTTCAATAAATTATTTTAATATTTTTTAAATTTCATGCTCAAGGTATACGGATACTGTAGGTATATGGAAATTAGTGTGTGCATTTGTGTATGTGTTTTGCCTTTAATATATATCGTTTAGTTCCCTTGTGTGTATTTAATTTATATTATTAAATATTTATTTTTACTACTACAGGAATGTTATGACATATGATATGACAGATAATTTTAAAACATCAAAATATTATATTATAATATTTTGATGTTTTAAAATGATCTGTCATATATCAACATAAATGTTTAGCATAATTTTCACCTCATTATTTAGAAATATACTTCTTGAATTCTTAACAAATCCATTGTTCTTAGGCTATATTAATTTTAATTATAAATTAGAGCATATACAATTCCCTAAGTAGGTCATGTGATCAGTAGCTCAAAATCAGAGCAAGAAGGTATATTGTCAGAGTCACATGAGGAATGCATGGGTAGGGCCCATACAATTTTCATTGTGGACCAAAATAGTTATTTGATTTAAAGTTTGCATTCCTTTCTCCTACAACCTAAAGAAATCTTCAATTGCTGATGTTGTGCTAGGATTAATTTTGCTTCGCCACTTTTTGTGCATTACAATAGTTTGTGTACCTTTCATTTCCATTGACGTCACTCGAGTAGTTCAGACTTCCGATTGACGACATTGGTTTAGACAACCCAATTAGTACGCAAGCGCGATTAGTTACATCATATTCTATTTATAGTTATATCCCATCTTTCCCCGATTCGCTGATTCACATTTTGAAAAGCGCCATCAGTCGTCTGTCGTCGAGTCTAGAATATTCTTTGTGTTGTGGGACCGAATGTTAATTTTGCGTTGCAAAATACGATAAATAATAAGTCGGTTTAGGAGAATAATTGAAAACGTTCAACTATTTTGAAATGTTTAGCAATATAGTCATTTTTGTTTGCCTCGAGAAAGTGTGTTGCGTTTAGTGTAGCAAATTGCCAAGAATTTCGCTGCTCCACATTCGCTCGTGATCGGTGACAACGCCATACAAACAGCTCACACGGCAGCAGAGTGCACTGCCTGCTGAGTGGTCAGTGAACATCTTAGGCCTAGAAATAATCTAGGCATATATTTCAACGTATTACATCAATAGAATTCGGTATCAGTCAGATTGTAACTGACGGTTTGCTAAGGAGTATCTATCTAGTGAAGAATGGGCGTTGATTGCGAGGCCCAGGCAGAGAGAAAGTTTACCGCCTGGGCTAGGCTAGTTACTAAGCGACTGGAACTGAAAGACTAAACTACGTAGGGGTTGTCCTCGAGACAAAAACCAAAACAGACAAAGAAAGTGTTCATGATCAAGGCTGGGCTAGGTATTTAAAAGACAGCTACTGTACTCTTTGTTTCAAGGTATATTTTACAGAAGAGGTAGATCTCATGAATGTATCTAGCTAGAAGCAGTTTTTAGAAGCTAATGATGTAATGATTGACTGAAGAGACAGCAGAGAGAGAAGAATCAATTTGGAAACAGCTTAGTTGTTGTTGACATAGGCTTAGGCGTAGGGCCTACACTAAATCTAACATTAACAACATTCTTCACCAAAAGTAACAGAAGATGCAGAACAAAAAGCGAGTGCCTGAGCTACTTCTGAGTTTAGCACTTGTCCTAAGCCTGTTTAGGTCTGAAAATGACAGCAATACAAGTCATCTATTTAGACTTCCTGAACTAAGAGATATTCTGCTGGGACAGACAGCACTCTTGACTCAAACTGAGTTTCACAACATTTTTAATTCTGTACAAGGAGACTATGTACATCCCAAAGGTATACAAAGGGACTCAAGATTTCTACACTCCCTGATTCATTCAATCGAGCCTGAAAGATGGATGGATATGTCCCAATATCGGGAGGTCACAGCTTTACTGTTAGATCGGCTAGAATCTAGTAATGAAATACAGTTATATTTGGGTCATGCAAATAACAATGGCGAGGATGAAAATATCCAAGAGAATGAGGATGAAATTGGTGCTAATGCAATGCCACAAAGTCCGACTGATGAACTTACTCAGGAGGTAAAATTTGAATGAAGTTTCTTCTGATCATTTGAATTGTGCAGTTTACGCTGTAGTTGCTTAATATTCCACAGCAACCTGAATAATGTTATAAGATTTGCAATAATCTTAATTTTAACTAAAGACGAGACTTTTTTTTTATTCGTTGTTTCGCATACTTATTTTTTTAAAGATCATGGGAGGAGGGTGGAATAAAAATTTTGTTTCCTTATTTAGCAAATAATTTTGCCAAAAACATCAGACGGAGGAGAAAATAAAAATAAAATTTTATTAGTGAATGTAAAATGGGATGGTTAATGCTTCAAATTTATATAATTACCTAAGAAATTTACATAACTTTGGAGATTTTCAGGCAGCGGAGGGTGTAATTTAAATAAAGGAAAAATTTCATTTTTTTCTGAAATTTCAATTTTTTCGTGGCGGTGGGTTCGCTAATTGGCCAAAAATAAAATTTTATTTTTATTCGAAATCATTAATATTTGAGTTGGCGGGTTCACTATTAAAAACAAGGTATTAAAAAAGTCTCGCCTAACCACTAAAAAGTTAAAAATATTGAAAATACCTGTGTTGTATAATTAACAGAAGAACACAATGATGGTTTTAAACAAGAAAAAGGAATAAATTATATTATTATTAGACAATAGGTATTTATGCACTATCCATGCCTTGAAAGTGTAATGAGTTTCTCCGTATATACTACTGTAGATATATAGTAGAAAAAACTGTTTTGAATAGAGTAGGCTACTGTAACATACAGTAGGGCATGAATTGGTCATCTGTACATGCTGGATAATTTCTACAGTATGTTCAACCACTCTACCACATCAGGCAAGATGGACAGAGAATGCCCAAGCCAGGTTTAGCCTGGTATAGCAAGGAAGGTGTAGATTTATTATCATTTTTAACAGTAGTAATTTACATAATAGTCCAGGGATAAATGGGTTCCTCCCTGTCTCTTATACACATCTTCACATCATCCATTTTTCCACTACATGTTTAACATTTTAATTCATGTTTAATGCAAGGTATTGAAATAAGAAAAAAACAGAATACACATACAAAATGCTTCAATAAGGCCTCTGGCCCCTTGATTATTACGCTAACGCTCCACACGTATCTATTCTGATAAGCCCCCCGTTGTAGTCTACAATTCATGTTGCAATAAAGTCATTGATTATTAGCTCATGGGAGGGTTCTCGGTTATTAAATGTGTTGATCAAGGAACAGGAAGTTTTGCCATCAGTATACTTTGTTGGAAAGGTTAATCAAAGCATTCCTATTGGTAGACACAAGTGGGGAAGTAGCTTTATATTTGCATGGACTACCATAATATACTACATATTTTAAAGGTGATGCCCAAGTTTGGCAAGGTGTGCAGTATCATCAGGATTTGCTTCATAAAGGAAGTCCTTCAGTTTTTACGCTCCATTGCCCCCATTAGAATAGAATTGCAATTTTGTGCGAGATATAGTTTTTTAACACTGAATGAATCATTTCAAAAAGAGACTGGTCAATTGGGAGCATACATTTTTTTTACGTACAGTACTTTAAAACATGAAGATGCTTGAGAAAGATGGGATGTTGTGTTTGAATAATAATAGTAGGCATATATGTAAGTACTGTACGGCATAGCGCTATTGCATAATGAGTTACTGTCAAATAATACTTACAGTTTAAAAGTAAGTTAGCAAATGAATGCATGGGTTGTTCATAATATCAGTGTAGTGTACAGCAAAAAAGAAGACCAACATTTAATGGTAACTGTGGTAAAATTGCAAGTTGAACATTGAACTGCACTGCATATACTGTATCCTCATTTAGAAAATCAATATTGAACAGCCCTATTGTACTGTACATAATATTATAACCCATTATAAATAATAGGATTTATTTCGGATTCCTTTCCTAATATTCTTGGAAAAATATCCTCCATTATTATATACTGTACTACCGTTAAAGGTTTTAAACAAAGTTTGTTATTAAAAATCCTCTGATTGATTGAAAATTTTACATTTTTTTTTTATTTATTTATTTTTTTTTTATTTTGTAACTTTTTGTAGTCTCAGTTGCTTTGATATGTGAACTACATTCACATCCAATGGTTTTGAAAAATATTGTAAGTACCGGTACTGTAAAGATTCCCCAGTTTTTTTAAATGTTCATTCTCACCCATAAAATTATATTGCTCTACAAATTTTATTCTTTGCTGTCCAAACCTGTATTGTTAAACGAACCATGTTTATTTCAAATCTTTCTTTAAAAGGTGATCAAAATACAGTAGGAATTTTTAGAGTATTGTATCACCCCAACAATCAGATTTAAAGTAACAGACAGCCATGTGGTAACCTGCTTTGTAAACCTACCAATACTATTCAAATTAAGTATTGTAGTCTCAAAATGTAAAATATAGGACGCTAATAAACACTCAATTTTTACCTTACTGTAGTAAATTTTCACTGTTTTTTTACAATGTTAACAATCTATTCTCAAGATTATTTAATATGAAGTCTAACATTCTTTTCTGTATACTGTAATTTTTTCTCTTTATCTAGAAATTTTTTATTTAATGAAGTAAAGTTACATTGTAAGAACTAGTTATGGCTCTGCCAGTGCCAGCATATATGTTTATTGAGTCACCTGACTACTTTATATTCTGCTTGTTTCATAAAATTACAACTCCCTGCAAGCTACATCACTTGTTGCAATAATACAACACAGTGGTGGGATTTCAGCTGAGAGGAAATCATTGTAGAAGTGCATTGTTGTTTGCACCTTTCCATTGGTTAATTGTCTGGGAGTAGTCCATATTTAAAAGGTGTATAAAGTTTCCTAATTGGCTAAGCATCACCTTGCGGTGAGAATATAAGCCGGCTCTTCCTTTTATTCAGTTCAATAGCACTGCTTCCTTTTTCCTTGCAGGACATGGACGTGATTGAACGACTCTGGAGGCAGGATATCGATATGGGAATCTGTCGAGATGATTCCTTGTCAACAAAAGAGGGATACGAGCTCGAGAAGCCTTTAAAGAAGCCAGAAGATAATGCATGGGACAATTTCAGCATTGATAATGAGACAGGAGAGTTCATGCAACCAATAATAGATCCCACAAATCAAGTAAATACTCAACAAATAACAACAATACCGCAGCAGCCACAGTTACAATTCCCTTGCCAGACCCAAGAAAGTGGAATGACATTGGAAGAATGTTTGCAGATACTTGAAGAAGACATCTCATATCCTCTACAGGGCCCACGACAGGAACCAGAACCTGCAATGCACCATCAAATGCACACTCCACAAGAGCTGGAGCAACGTTGGCAGGACTTTGCTTCATTATCAGACATTAATTTAACTCTACCTGCCATCAATCCTGAAGTTTCCCCTGAATTTAACCCAGAATTTCACCAGCAGTCTGTCATGCCGGAAAACTTTGCAATCAACTCATCAATCAATTTTGGCATGAACTTTCCAAACACTACAGAAAACTTGAACATGTTGCACTACCCATCCAGTCACCAGACCACAAACGTAACCGTTGGTATGCACTCGTCAGACGATGTATTTTCTTCGACGCCGTCGTTATCCGATCTATCCGTAAACACAACATCTCTACCCTCTGCGTCTTTGCATATACCTGGCACAGGCATGAACTTTACAAACTTGTTGATTTCTGAGACCAACCGTAGTATTACTGATGAGTATGGCGGGCAAAATGACACATCATCATCCTCGTCACGAAACAGTACAAGTCCGTTATTGCTTGACCTGTTGAATTCGTCAAGTCTGGACGAGGTGGACACGATGGATATTGATGGTCAGATCCGTGATGTAATGGATGTGCTTGATGATGGAGATTCAGCAATTTCTCTCGGATCAGGTACGACTAATTTTTTTTATATCACATCACCATAAATAATGGTAACACCTATTCCCATTAGCCTGTGTTTTTATCATAGTTACTACTTTCGTAAACATGCATGAATTTTGTCATTTAGTGCAAATATAAATTATTAATTTTCATCACCATATTTAAGAAGTCTGCTGAGACTAAGTTTAAAGGTGTTTTTATAATTATACTTTCAATTAAAAGTTGTATGGTAAGATTCAGAACTCTTGATAAAGAGCATGAAAATCCATGTTGAGCTGAATCGGCTTTGAAGTGGCTGAGATAATAAGAGCCTGACCTTCATTCTAGTACTCTTCATCCAGGGCTCTCTTCCTCACCTGTATAAATGTCATTGTGTTTTCAAGGCTGTCAAGTACTTGTTTGTTTATAGTGTTTCTGTGATTCACAGAATGTATATAACCCCAATGCCTAGATGGCTCTTCATACCAATTACTGTTTCAGAACAATATAGACTATTTTATTGTAATATACAACCCTTAATCCCTCTTTAATCACATGATTATAGTAACTTTAGTAAAAAAAATTCCTGCACTATTGATAAATAAAGATATTCTTCTTTAAGTGATCTGCCTTTAAGGCAGATTTATTCTTATGTTAAATAATATTTTGTAAATCCTGTTTTCTTTATTATAACTTTACTTTGTTAGGTTGCATTGAATACTATCAGTATTTAATTACTTCTGAAAACAATAAAGTTTTGATTAAAAGAATACTGATGATGAAAAAAAGAATAGATAAAATATATTGTCCTCACAATATATTGTTAAAATCTCATTGTAGAAAAAAAAGCTTTATCTTTGATACTTTTTTTCATTTCAGTTTCACAGTACACTGAACAAAGTGACAGTTCCTCTCTGTACAGCGGTAGTGATGAAAGCTCGGAGGGCGCTGTTGGTTATGACGGAAGCTTGGACCAGGACGTGAAGGGGGCTTCAGGATACAGTCGAGGTAGGCAGCTGATGTTTGTCGCATGATTCCCTCGGTAGAGGCTGTGCATAGACATATGGCTATGAATACAGTTGATATGTTGTACAGTACTAAGGGGACGCTTATGTGTCTTATGTACAAATAACAGAGATTACTTATTCTACATGAGAGGTATTTACTTTACTATGAAAGAGAGTGCTTAACTGTTAAAAGTGCAGCACAAAGTATTGTTTGTAAGGACAAGAAGCTTAATTAAAAGTGTGTGGTATCATGTATTCTCATTGCACGCAATGGTACGATAGAATTACAAAAATCTTAACCTCGTCAGAACGACTGCACTTTCAACCCCAATTCACTGTACCACATTGTGGTTGAATAGAAAACCAAAATTTGTAAACAAGTTGAAAACCTCAACACTGGCAACCACCATTCCTCCCCACCACTTTTTTTTCTCCCCATCCATTTTCACATTGTGGTATCAGAAGAACACATGCCCAGTTTAATTCTTCTTGACCTGGTTATAATTAGACAGACTGAAAGAATATACTGTATTGGCAAATAATTTGTCACAATATAAAAATAGTTTCAAATTACATTTTCACAAATCAAGCAAAGTCATTTAAATTATGAAATCAACGAAACCACCAGGAAGTGAATATCTGGGTGTCTATTAAACTATATAAATTTCTTATCATTTTAGGAAATACGCAGTATGGTGGCGATCGACAAGGCCAGACCAATAACGGTAAACAGCAATCTAGTATGAATAACATAGCTCACAACCACACATATAGTGACTTGAGTTCTCGAAATGGCAGTGTCAATGGCACCAACAGTAAAAAGAACCAACAGCAGAAGAATGAGGAAATGGGATCACGGTATTCACGCGATGAGAAGAGAGCCAAAATGCTGAAGATACCAATTCCCATTGAAAAGATAATCGAACTCCCAGTCGACCAGTTCAATGAACTTCTAAAAAAATTTGAACTGAACGATGCACAATTGTCACTAATTAGGGATATTCGCCGTCGAGGGAAAAACAAAGTTGCAGCGCAGAACTGTCGGAAGAGGAAAATAGATGCAATATACACGATAGAGGAAGAGATCGATTTGTTAAAAGCAGAAAAAGACCAGTTATTAAAAGAGCGAGGGAACATTGATAAAGAGTCGCAAGAAATGCGTGACCGCTACACGCACCTTTACCATGAGGTATTTCAAAGCCTCCGGGATGACCATGGTGATCCCGTCAACCCCAACAATTTTTCTTTGCAACAGATGCCAGATGGTACCGTCTACTTAGTACCAAGAAACTCAACTTCACAAGATGAGGAAGAGAAAGACAAGTAATCGAGCCCAAAAACCAGGACATTGTTATAATTCATGCAACTCAGGTAGTGGGTAGATTAATTGAACTCGTGTATCATATTGTGTTAGAACTCAATCACAAATTTGACCAAAGTTTGAAGATATTCTAAAATGTTATGTTCTCAATATTCAATGGATATCATTGATATTTATACTACACTTGCAATACTAGTAGAATTCTCAACTCGCAGATATTTTTTTTAAACAAACACTATGTGCATTAGAGCTTTCACTGCAGATCCTCTAAAATTTTTTTTTTTATTTGTGTCAACCTAAAAAATCTTCATGTACATAATTGAAAGCAGACATATTGTTGATAAATTATCAGGTTTGTTGAAACCTTTGTAAAGAAATTGTAATATTTTTTTTGATCACAAGATATATTATTTCATTCTATTCTTTAATTTATACAACTGTTTTTATAAGGCAGTGGTTAGATGTGATATTTCTGAGGGAGTAACATATGCATGATTTTATTTTTAAAATGTGTTAATGACTCCCAATGAAGCTGATGTCTAGAGTACGGTAGTGCATATGTTTTGTCAGTTATAAGTTGTCTTATTCTAGACATAAACCGATAAAAGTAGAAATGTTCACAACCTGAAATACCCAGTCCAAAGCGATGGTATCAGATTCTAGACAATCGTGGCTTTAGAGTATATATTATCTAAATTTTATTCCAATTGTTTTCTATATTGAATCTATACAGAGAGGTAAATATTACTGATATTCCTCAAGATTATATATTGTGAAAATCTATAAAAAAGCTATATAATGTTTTCTAGAAGCCATAATGTGTATAAGGAAAGCAGTCTGGCTACTTAAGTGTGAGAGATAGGCGAGAGTGTGTTTTTTTTTTTTTTGTTTTTTTTTTAGTGAATTATTGTGTCATCATTTAAAATGTGAAAAAAAGATGTTTTCATATTGGAAGGTAGTTTGTTTTGAACATGTACTTTCTATATACAGTATTTGTATAAATTGTAAATATTGAGTTAATTTGTACAGTTTTGCTTTTGGAGAATACTGAAGACTTATTTTGCTTGTCTTGGAAGCAATGAATTTTAAGAAATAAAACAGAAAATACAAGGAAAACAAGAAACAATTTGTATTTGTATCATTTTTTTTTAAGGACATTCATTTCCTTTTTTTTCCTTTGTGAAGCTGTTAATTATTTAGTATTAAAACTATCTGTCACTGAAATGTCTACCCATTGAAAACGATAACAATCAACATATCGTGCAAACTCGTGTGGTCGGATTTTAATAATAATAATAATAATGATAATAAGAATAATAATAATAAAATAATAATAATATATCCTGTAATAATATTAAAAGAGGGGAAAATACAATTGATATGCAACTGATGAAGCCAGAGTAATTTTGAGAGGTTTTTTTAAATACGGTAATATGAAGTAACGAAAATTTATAATGGTATCAAAATCTGCCCGACAGGCTAAAAAACCTAAGCGAAGGCAGTCTAATTTGGCTGACACCAAAAGAGGTCAGATGGTAGCATGTGACTGAGAATCCTGGAAGGAACTGGTCAGTTGGTGGCACCAGCCCCCCTCCCCCTACTAATATGTAGAAAATACATATACATTTAGTATTCTCCCCCCCCCCCGGGGTCGGGGAGAAAACGGAATGTATATGTATTTTCTACTTATTAGTAGACCCAAAATCGATTAAGTAACAATTTTGAGATATTTTGAGCGAGGCTGGGAAATCGCCTCCGGTCGGGGACTTGGACGCCGTCGGGAAAATCCTGGCGTCACCACTGTCAGTTGTAAGTGCGCAGCTACCCTACGATCACACCCGATCACGACTGTAAACAGTAAAGGGGAACTTTCAGGTACAAGAATTTATAAGATATTAAAATATAATTATAAAAGTCTTGGACACTGGACATCGGTAATATAAATAAATACAAGTTAGAAAATACGAATAGACCTGATTGAGATTCGATTGCCAAATATATACTGAATTAATATATTAAACCGCTTGCGGATTTAAGGCGAGGCCTGGTACCCACCCCCTAAATCTTTCAAAATTTAACAAAAATTGAGAGGAAAAAAAAAAGAAAATTCTGCTCAAATTTAAGTCTAAAAGTGCCCGAGGTGCCATAATCATAAATTTTCTTACCTCAGCCCCAACCCAACCATGGTGGTGCTGAGGCAGATAGCCGTCTATTGTGAAAGTCCTTTCCTGCGCCCTTTCTATTTCAAATTCCACCACTGTAAACTTTGAATAAAAGGAAGGGCAGGTTTTATTTTTTCTTATTTCAGCCCATCGATCCCGCTGGGGCCCCAGGCAGCTTCCCCAGACCCCAACCAATGGGCCCGGGCAGCGAACGAAGATGTCCCGGGGCCTCTCGGTCGCTTTCGGTAGCCCTAAATATACAGTTGGATATAATTGTATATAGTTTTCACATTATCAGTAGGGCCTATATAATTATTTGTCTTAGAAAACATTTTATACATAGAAATACAAGTACAAGGGTCCGCTCATAAATAAATAACAGATGTTGAAACACAAAACTTCAACTTAAGGTGTATGTACCATCAGTGTATTATAATTTAAAAGAAACACATTAAAAAATATTCATGTTTTTAATTTACACATTGAATTGATAATTTAAAAATGTATTAACTTACAAAAAGGCACAACCAACGCTTTTCTTTTATATTAGAGGTTATTTGCAAGTAGGTGATATCTTATTTTGCCATTTTTGAATGAGATAAATTCCCTCAAGTTCTTACCCCATTCCCCAGAAAAATACAATTAGTAACAATCAATATTCTCCTCACTACTTATCCATAAAAACGCTATGTATTGTATGTAGTGGCGTATCTAGGGGGTGCGCGCCCCTCCAAAAATTACTCGCGCCCCTCCCGCTACAGTCGCCCCACCCCCAAAAAATCACGGTCAAGTAGTTAAAAATCACCTTATTTTAATTATTATTATTAGCGCCTCTCAACTAATTATCGATCCCCCGTCGGAACCGCACCGGCAGCACCGGCTTTGGCCGGACCACTTTTTCTCAATTTTATTACTTTCTTAAAATAATTATATACTGATATCTATAAATTATACGAATTATAGGCTAATTATTAATGTCTATTTAATGTTATAAAATTTAAACAAAAATCCACCATGCACTTGTTTTTGTATTGTCTATGTACACTTTAACTTTTAACTTTTTTGACTGCCAATCCTTAAATTTAGTAATTAGCCTAAGATTGATTTTGAAAATGTTTAAAATAAATATATAATAACTATTTATAAAACTTTAGAGGTTGGGATCAGGCAAATTTTCTTTTCTCAAGCTGTCCCTAATTACTTGCAATCAAAATTTATACCCCTAAATGTAGGCCATTCATTTTTTAAGTATGCATGTGGCCGATGCGATTCCGACGGCCCTTAAAGTGTAATCGGTATAAGGCCTAACATAAGCACAAATTAACAATTCAAGAACTCATCTACAGCGTGATAATAATCCTCTTTAGCATTATGTAC